TGAATAGATAATGATGAAAATTTACATCAAATAACAATATATTCTTCGGGAATAGCATCTCCGTTATCATACATTGAAACGTAACCCAATTTGAAAAGAGAAAAACGCTGCATTCCAACAATCCTACCAAGCATGGACTACTTTTTTGTAGAGGGCTTTAGTTCTATAAATGTTAAAAGTAAGAAAATGGGGAAACCATTGTAACCAAAGCCAACACATAGAAAACTATGTAAGAAAAAAATTGATAGCGCCATCAATGGCGAAATGTAAACTTCCCGTTTTGGAAAGAAAACAAAAAAAACAGAAAATAAAATAACTCATAGGCCATACAGCATATTATGCATTATCATTCACCGTGTATTGCCCGGCCTCGTAACGCTATAGGAAATACATTTGTACATTGTATACGAAGCTTAGGATTGCTTGCAGACAAATATCATTCCACCTTTGCGTATCTATTCATTTTATTGAAAATATGTCTGTCTGACCAATTCAAAAATCAACCAATGTTTCACACAATGTTCCATCTAATTTAATCAGATGACATTACTGTTTTACAAATAACTATATGATACACCCATTTTAACAAATATAAATTTTAAGATTCGTGTATAATTATGCCTTTGTATGATCACATTACTTAATAATGGCCAATTTATAATCAGACTAAATTAGGTACATTTTGTTTGGCAATTGCGATTTGCGATTATTTTTTGTGAACTGGATACGCATTTTGCGATCCGAGGACGTGCGTATAAGTCGTACGACCGTGGGCAGCAAAAGCCGTAACCAGTGCATTAATGTTTTATCATATACGTTAAGTAATTATAAATTTACCACGCCGTGGCCTAAAACACACGATGTAATTTAGAGTAACGCGTTTTGATTGTGGCGTGATTCAAGATTTTAATGCCCTTATATGAGGGCGCACTTCCCATAGCGTTACGAGGGCGGGCTATAGAAGTATATGGTAATATGACAGAACCCAACACCCTCCCCGTGGCTTTCGTTGCGAATATAAGTTATTTTCACGAGTGATGTGGTGTAATCTGTGGCCGTACTTTCATGAGCGACGCTAAGCTACACGATGGTGTAGGGTCCTGTTATTATTACATATGTTCCATATTTAATTAATTCATATTAAAGAAAGAACGTGCAACAAACCGGGAGGGAATTTAGGTCGGGAAACCCCATTGCCCATTAATATATTTCAGGATAGTGTTACGTCCTAGCAACGCGTGTCAGTGTAGAACGCGAAAATAAAAATAATCTATTCTGGGTCACTGTCCAAATAAATAACTCGTGAACGTTTAGTTGAGGCTACAACAGAACCAGAACTTGAACTGAACGACTATGATACACAGTTTATGTTGAAGTTAAAAGTTCTTCCACAGAATTATGCATTGGCAAACATGCCGTGCAACAGCGGTGCTCTACTTACGGGATGACTTTCGTCGACAGCGGTCGTCATAGATCGAATGAGTCTTGGTTACCCGTTAAAATGTTGCTCATTTTGCGATGGTAATCTTTTTTTGGAACTGAGTAACGCTACAACGTCGCCAGCAGAAACGTCCTGGTATCTCGGTGTTGAAGGTTGCGGTTCCATAGCAATCGCTGATTTTACTGTTTACTGTTTTCAGGTGGTCAACATATATTAAATTTTCCAATCGTAGTATTTCATGTGAAGTAATATGCCAAAACTTTTTCTGAACGATTTGAACCGGATAAAAATAGCAGACGAAAATGTGTTTACAAAATAAAAATAGTTCGGTAGCCAATGGAAATACCGTGTTCATTTGCATATAGACGGTGAAAATGCCAAAAACATTATATTATAGCATAGGTGATATGCAAATTAGTTTTAGTCAAAATAGGCGACTGCCTAAAAGTAACATTACTGTTGTTCAAATTCCATTTCACTCAGGAAGTATAATTCATCCCAAGGGGAAAATGTCGTACTTCTAAATATTGTTTATTTCTGCTATGTTTCAAAAAACGTTACTCCTGAAAGGACTACTTTGTTTGCCCTCAGACCTCATTTGCACATAGAGTGTGGGAATACTAATTTTGATTTTAGGGACGAATTAAAATAAACTGCAGTACATATGTAATAATGCACAATACGTTGTGTAGCTTGTGTAAATAACTTATGAGGCTGAGGTCATGTATGGTAACTATGTAATGGTTTATTTAATGCTATATTCAGATGTTTTATACATAATGCTTACGATTTACTCGTTCCCATGGAAATAGTAATACTACAGTTAGTAAAATGTTAACAACACTTTGCATGTATCCTACAGGCACATAATTTCAATCATCATCAAACTTACTTATATTGTGATGGGTGATGCTTTGTCATGGCTGAGTTTTTCATGTTTACAATTGACAATGTTGCAACAGTATTTGTGTACCCAAGATCTTTTACAATCCTTAATGAGTGGTCTTTTTTCACATTTTTACTGTAATGAAAACAAATATAATACAGTGAATCCACCATGGGAATAGGTCAACTTATGCAAATTACTAGTAGTATGTTTTTGTGAGTGTTTGATATAGGTGTTTACTTTCTCTCACTAAAAAAGTAATCATCAGCCATATGTTATGCACTGTAAGCTTCTGTATGTTTTCGTTCTAAGTTAAACCACTAGTACGTCATTCGTTTTATAATTCGTCACATAGTCTTAATATATTTCACCATACGAAAAGAACTTTTTTACAAATTTGAAGTTTAGCATTCCCATTGGGAGTAGAAGGTTATAATTTATGATTAAAAACCAAAGTGACTGAATAGCAGACACAAAATTGGGGCTTAATGAATGAATAGTGTTCTCAGATTGTTCAGTGCATGTGTTTGTTGGTTTGTAGCTGCCCGCATGTGTGGGTGGGTACATGTTTGTTTTTCATGGTTTTACAATGCATCATTGGAGAGACCATTATACTACATATTGCATGGGCAATAGGTATGTACCTATAGTAGGAATATATGAATCGATAACTGTGTTGACGTTGTGTTCATCCCACTATAGTACACTATTGATTTACATGCATTAATAAGCACACTGCAATATATTCTGAATAGTACATCATTGATGAGTTGAATTTCCCTGGCGACCATGGCCAACCTGTGACGAACAGTTCAAAGCCTCGTATATTCCATTCAAGGGTATTGTTCATTTTCAATTAATTAAATTATTGACATTTTGAAAACCGCTGAAGCCTTATACCTGATTTCGTGAGTAACCTCTGTCAAACTAGTTTAAATAGTTACGTCATGATTTATTTCTATGTGTCAGATGGGTCACTGATACGACATGATAGCTATTTGCCAGTGTACAGCTTGTTTATATCATTCATCACCTTTCCATAATCTGTCACCATTTAGACCGTTGCGGCGCCTTGAACGGAACTGAAATCATTGACTGGAACTATTTCTGACAATATGGTATGTATAGTTTCTTAATATAGAGAGTAATTAATCAACATATATGACGTGTTAAATACTTCGTGTGTATATATCTATCTGTTTAATTCTTTAAACAAAATCCTCTCATTAGTAAATAGCGCCCTCACTCAACAACAATTAGAATGAGTGGTTGATCAAAAGTTTGATGAGTCAGGTGCGTCTATTGGCTTGCTGTATGGTGTTCTGGAAGGGGTGGAGGATTTCATATTTGTAATGACTTGTTGTAATGTGCTATCTCGTTGTTTTCGGGATGCAGCCTGATATTTGTTGCTTTCTTGGTTGTTCAATTATGGCTAAAATGTTTGTGGTGGGTGGAAGATGTGTTTATTGTTTGTTGAGTCATTGTTTAGACACCCTGCAGCTTGAAATGGTATGGCCCAAATCAAAATTCGATATACCTGTTCGATATGGCGGTGTCGTCTAAATCTCTGCCTGAGATATAATATATCGCACAGGTATTCAACTGCGCCTAGAACTATGGTATATATATTTATATTTATGCCTTAAAGACTTTATACTTCATTGTAATTGGTTGAGTTTTTTAAACAGAGTCCTAGTCTATAGTCACAGGGGCTCCACGTCCCTGTTTCTGCACGAGTCAGGTTGCTGTTAGGGGCTGTCCACAACGTGACTAAGTCTAGAAGTTGACACATATTCTACCTGTGTGTGTGCCTTTTTCAGTGAGAAGGTGGCGAACTTCGTGATCTCTGGTACATCAGATGAAGATTTAATAACACGAGAATTAACCACATCATAGTTACACGCACTCTATTTTAGTGACATCCACAAGTCTACAAAAAATAATCTATATACATTACAATTATACTTCCCATCCATAAATGTAGCTAACAACCCCACTCGCAGTCAGTCTGATCACGGTCTTCTATCAACACAATAAACCAGCATTTCGTGAGTAGTGCAACTGGATGCAGGCACACGATGAGCTAGGTTTCAATAATTGGTGGGGCTTGTTAGTACCGGTGAGAAACCATATATTGTCGCGTGAGATCATTTAAGAGTGCTAAGAGTCCTCGTGCCTCCTGCTTTCACTGAAATACCTACGCCATTAAATTAATATTAAATATACAAACATATTAGGCTTGAGGACTGTTGACAGTCTATTCTATCATTAAGAGCATAATTGAATAAACATTACGAAATATATTCTATTATCATGTACAACAGTTCTGTTACAGTTAATATTGACGCTTATTGATTACAAGCATGT